CTAGGTAACCAGTCATCTTCCTGTCTCTGGTCTTGGACAGGTGGCTCAGTTGGTTGGAGCAGCATCCTGTACACCAAAAAGACTGTGGGCTCAATTCCCTGTCAGGGTGCATTCCTAGGTTGTGAGTTTGATCCCCAGTCGGGGCACATATGAGAGGCAATCGATGTTTCTCTCTCATTTTTATCTCTTTCTTTTCTCTCTGTCTTCTCTCTCACTTCCTCTCTCACTCAAAATAAATAAAGTTATTCTTGGGTGAGGATTAAAAAGAAGAAAGAAAAAAAAAAGAAAAACAAGCAAAAACTCATAGACACAGTATGGTGGTTACCAGAGGGTAAGGGGTCGGGGAGAGTAAAGAATAAAGGGGGGCAAATATATGGTGACAGAAGATGATTTGACTTTGGGTGGTGGGCACACAATGCAATGCACAGAACATGTATCACAGAAAGACACTTGAAAACTATATGATCTTATTAACCTATGTCACCAACACCTATAATTTAAAACTTTTAATTTTTTTTGTGTGTGTGTGTGAAATGAGTTATGCAAATGTGGGAAGTAATTTTCATTTCTTACAGAGATGTAAAGACTGCAAGGCTGTGCCATTGTGCTGATCCTTGAAGAATGAATAGAATTTCCAGGCCAAAAAAAAGGGGGGGGGAGGAGGGGGAGTTATTGCAAACAGCAGGAAGAGGTAGCTGAACAAAAAGCCTAGTGTGGCCAAATCACAGTGTTGGGATGTCAGAAAGAAAATGGTAGGAACATAGTCTATTTCCTTAAACATGACTGGGGCTGCAGTCTCCACCTCTAGAAACAAATTCTGTTTCCAGAAGAGATCTATCTCTTGGTTTGAACATTTGACTTCTCTCTTAGTACTTGGTGAATTGTTTACGTGTTTGAGTCTCCTTTCTGATCATAACACCTTAAGACCTGAGAACATGACTTAGTCTCCATGGCAGTGCTTAGCCAAGTGTTGGGAATATAGTAACTACTCAACAAATACTTAGTGGGGGAGTAAAGAGATCTGTGAATCAGTGAATATTCACTCTGACAACTGAACAAGTCACACTTTTCTGTAGTGGAAAAAGGTTAGAAGACACTTAGTTCTGACTTCACAATACATATCTCAGAACTACATTTCAGTGGATATTTAGGGAGAAAACAGTAGATTAGAGATTCCATTGGAATAAAAGTTATTGTTCAGATGCACTGTTTTTTTGTTTTTGTTTTTTAATATATTTTATTGATTTTTTTACAGAGAGGAAGGGAGAGAGATAGAGAGTTAGAAACATCAATGAGAGAGAGTCATATGCCCGCAACCAAGTCACATGCCCTTGATCAGAATCAAACCCGGGGCCCTTCAGTCCCCAAGCCGACGTTCTATCCATTGAGCCAAACCGGTCCCAGCCAGATGCACCATTGTAAGTACAACTGACAGTTGAAGCTCATTCAAAAATGAAAAGCTTTTCACTGGGAGGTGATCTTTGGAAGCAAGGATAGAGGAGTAGTGAGACAGGGAAGGAAATCCCAGTGGGGACATCTGAGTCTACAGAGCAAGCCTTAGATTATCCTACCAGAGGGGCGAGGAAGCTGGACTTTACTGATTTATGTCAGTTTTAGATGTGACTGCTCTTGGAGGTGTTAACTTTATAGCACTCTGACCTGTCCAGCATGCAAGACAAATACACTCTACACATTCAGAGAAAGCTTTTAGCCATATGCTGAGAGGATACAGACATTTCTTCTGCTAATGTCTAGTGTACACCTTGGACTTTCTTTGCTTTCACCAGTATTTTTTATTTTTAAGGAAGTCGCTAGGGGGAGGCATGGGGGAGAGGGGAAAGAAAGATTGAGATTACAAAGGATACTTTGGTCCAAGCTACAGTCTCCACTGTTGTACTTACCTTGAGACCATAATTGAGATTTATCATTTCCATCCTTTTTCTTGGCTAATCTGCTTCTATTTCTTGGATAATCTGCTTCTAGTCTAGGTTCATCGCTGGCGCAATAATGTAGTCTTTTATCCCTGAGGGTTTGAGTCTCAAGTTAACTGTCCTCCTTGTAACCCAGTTACTTATCCTCATAGAAGTTGTTGTTGCAGTTACCTTTTAGGTTCTCACCAGGCCTGGAAGCATCAAGAGGCACCCCAGTGAGTCCCATGATTTGCAGACATACTCCTCCCAGCTCCATTATTTAGCAGCCATCCTCTTGGCAATCAGGATGAACGGCCTTTGCCTGCAGAGTAACTGTCTGCTCTCACTCCTGGCCTGTGGGCATGGGCAGCCAACAATAACCAGGTGGCAGCTGAAGCTATGGATTTAGTGGAACCCTTCCTGTGTCCCCTGGCAGAACTTTCTAAGCCTCCAACTCCCTCGATCCTGAAATTATAAAAAGGGGGAGCTCACTTTCTTCAGTGAATTAGTAAAAGTGGTTTTTGGGGGTAGGGAGATGGGCATCATGCCTACTTCCACTTCATGAAGCTCGCTTATCCAGGACAGAAAACTAAAAAAAAGAACTAAAAACAAAAACAAAAACAAACAAACAAAAAACAGCAGCATTTAATAGAACCACATCTTCAGCCTTAATCATGAGGATGTCATTCCAAGTGAAAGACAGCAAGACAGTTACTATGTCAGACCTGGTCTACTGAGAACAGTCACCCCTAGCTTCTCACGGAGGCTGGTGTCCCTCTTTTCCGGGTGCTCCTTATTGCTTCAGGAAAGGGAATGTCTTTTGGTCTCTCCTGGGGAACATAATTAGCTGGTAATTCCTCTGGCATCACAACATAAACACATTGTAACATGTCCACCCCTCAGGAGACCTCAGAGCTCTTCTCCAATACTTGGAAGTAGTTCCGGCATCTGTACACCATTCATTTTAAGCCAACATTGTTTCCAAGCTTTAATAGCTATTCCAGTAGCACATTGGGATCAGCTCCAAGGGTACTTGTCAGATTGTTAAAAATTAACTCATGAAAGAGTACTTTTATAGAAAAATATTTTTGTTATTTGGTCTTAACATTCTGTCATCCCTTATCCAGCATCTCAAGGTCAGTTTCTTAGAAATGTCTCAGAGTCCTACTAGTTCTTACCAGCCAGGTTCTATAGTGTACTTGATTAATGAATAATCCATTTCGTTCTGCAGCATAGGTCATGCCTTTCTGCGCAGGCCATGCTGAGAATTGACTCCAGTTATTTGTCCAGAAGCACTGAGGGAGATGGGAGTAGAACTTAAGAAGTTTAAGCATCACCACTTATCAAACTTCCTACTGAGGAGGGGCTCTTAGGAGTCTATTGGCTGTCTTTGTAAGAGCACGTACCCAAATATCTCCTCTGCTTCAGAGTCCAACTCCTTCCTGAAAAGGATCCTGATTTTAATGGATAAGACTTACTAGCTTTGTGAAGTCAACCTCCTATACCGCTCTGCTTCTCTGGAAGTGAAATCTCAAATGGGGTTTTCAGCATGCTCTATCCTGCAGCTACAGAAAAGGAGGGTTATTTTTATTATTGGTTGGAGGTTTTCAAGCTTTCACCTTAAATCCTGAATTGAATGTTGGCTGACCAAGCCTGAAATATGTTTTTCCTAAAAAAATTTCTTTGGAGGTTAACTAACTCCACAGTCCCATATATTTTAAACACAAGAGTAATAGAATTCCTCCATCTATAGTCTATCTCTGATAAGAGGAGTCTTAGTAATTATGGGGCTACATTTTGTCAGGGATCAGCCCCATGCCATTACGCACCAGCAAGGGGGTCCTCGCTAGCACCTGAGTGGTGCTTGGTTCATTTCAAGAAGCTGGTATCAAGGAGTTCCTTCTTAGGCCAACTCTGTTCCAACTAACTTAGGCGGGGCTTGGGTTCCCCCATAAGCCAATGAACAAGGATTTAAGAGAAAGTTGTTTGGGAAGTGAACCCAGAAAACGCCAGTAGAGGAGTGGGGGAGTGATGACAGAAAGGAAGCTAATAAAGGATGAGCAGGATAGAAGGTTTTCCCTGTGGGAACCAGGAACTTATTACCATTGGGAAGTTCTGAGACACCACACAGCTCATACTTCAGGGTCATCTTTCCTGAGGGACAAAGACCTAGGGTGTTTATCCCAGAATTCCTGCTGTCATAGGTTGAGGGCTGCTTCTGGAGATATGAACTTTCTGGAACTTCTGGTCAACCTGCCTTAGGGATCAGATGCTCCAGAGATCAGAGAATGTCCTCAGGAAAAGGTCACACACACAATAAGAAGCTGTGTGGTTGGTGCTTATGGAAACAGTGAAGGCCACAATAATCTGGGTAGGAAATACCAAAACATCTGTTTCAAAAGATAAAACTCCTATTGAGTTTATGATGAACATAATGGAAAATGATGCCATTCAACTGTAGTAGCTACCTGTAGCATATCAGCACCCCAGCCAACTGAGTAAAGCAAGATATCACCATGCATATTTTAGCTGTGTGTGTGTGTTAACTGATATGGCATCTTTCTTGATCAGATTATCTCAGGCTATATTTTTTCTGTTTAATCACAGAAATCTGTATATACTACTTTTGGCCTAAATGTTGATATGAACAGTAGGTATAGATAGAATGACTCATCTCAGTTTTAATAGTGCCCAGCAGTTCCTTTAAATGCTCATGTCCCATCTCCTGTTTAAAACAGAATTTTAGAAATGAGTCTTGAGAACCATGGATACCCAACCCCCCAAAATGTTCACAATACTAAGAAACTTGGAGCATTCTCAGAAATAAGGAAATGAAGTCTCAGAGCCTTCTCAGAAATAAGGAAACGGAGTCCGTTCATGTTTTATTTTTCACTTGTGAAAATATATACAATATATATTACATGTACAGAGTCCCACAGCATGAGTCGGAGAAAGCTAACAAAAGGGCACAAACAGGGGCCAGATGTTTTTCATACATTTTCCAGTTAAACCCATGTTCGGGGCGTGGCAAGCGACCATAAAAGCAACAACAGCACAGGAAGCCCGTGTGCATGATTCCGACAAGCTAAATCAGAGGAAACTCCTGGGTCTGCTGGGAATGGAGGTCATGTCTGGAGAGAAGACCATTTCAGAGCAGCAGAGAACATATTCAAGTCTGGACAAAGATACCAGCGGCAAAACCAAAGCCAGTGCTCGACTTGCCAGCCAGTCTGCCCTTTTCCTCTTTCTCTTGAAAACCTGCGGCCTTGGCTGATGCAAAGAAGCAAATAGCACAGCCCAATCTCCTCCTGCAGAATGGTGGTCAGCTACCAGACACAATTTTTTAACACACAGTAAATATTCTAAATGCTTGTAAACACAGTTACAGATGCTGAATGGCAGCAGGGGAGAGGTCGGGGGAAGAGGAGGGAAGCAGACATTAAAAACACATTTGCTATTTCTCTCATACAGGAAAGACAGAGGCATGGATCTTTGGCGTGTCACATGTGTGTCCCTATCATGACATTTTCCCTAAGTGGTAAGAGCTGAGGCACCATATCTGATAGGATGGGGTGGTGGGCAGCATGTGCCAGCACAGAGCTCACTAGGACCTGGCGCAGCCAGAGCAGCTGACCGCCCTGGGCGGCGTGAGGTGCGGCTTCACGATGTCGGGCTCAATGGACTCCATCAGCTCGCTCTCGTTAGCAAGGATGTGCTTCACCAGGCACCGGGAGGCTTCATCGATGTTTATGTTTTCCTGCAGGGAAAAAAACAAAACAAAGCAGCTTTTCTTACTCTGTGTTCTGGATGATACCAGAGGAAGCAGAGACCTTTATGTGACAGAGGGGCAGCATTTTGGGCAACTCGTTTAAACATCCCTTCCCATAGGCTGCCCATGTGTCCTCTTTCTAGTCCCTTCACTTACATGTATTCTTTCAAAGTGCTTTGCTCTTTAGGCCTTCACAGAGGTGAACATGTTTATTTTGGTCTGTCAGGCAGGAGAAATAGTGTTTCATAGGCTCCCTTAGTAGGTTGAATGTAAGTTAGAGGGCAGTTTCCTTATTTTTCACATGCTCTTACAGTATAACAAAATACTGCAAAATACTTACTTCAGTATACCAAACACAAAATCATGATCTTCAGTGAAGTCAAATCTGGCTGTTTTTATCACAATTTTTAGAACTTCTCTGATGTGTTTCCCCATATTCAATGTAAGCAGATAAAGACTTCCTGGTCAAATTGTTTTACTCTAAAACCTCATCCAATCTGAAGTATAACTACTTATCCCTAATTTGTGAATGTATGTAAAAGTTGTTGATATACAGGTATCCCCCCAAAAAAAATGTATAGACACTTTGACAGCTGCTAGATCAATTTTGAAAATGATATGTATTTTAATCAACACTGCCTTTATAATTACTCAAAGTGTGAATATACATTTTGGGGGGACACATGACATTTTTAGATCACTGACTGAAGTCATATTTCATGGAAAATGTAAGAGGCAGTGATTGCTTCCAAATGCTATTTATGACTAATGCCTAATGGCCACAAATCTAAAACAAGGTTAAGTTCTGATTGCTTTTTGTGCATTTCTGGAATGTGTTCTTGTCTTTTTACAAGACCAATGTTCATGTCTCTGAGCCTTCCCTTTCCTCATCTATACAATCATCTTCATAATATTTACCTATCATTTAATAAAATAAAAAGTTGTTTCCCTTCACTGGGTGCAGTGATCATGGGTGCTTTCACAGTGTGAACCTGCTGGGTTCTTTGTATACATAACCTCTTAAAAGCCCAGGGTTTGTTTTCTGTTCTTAGTGATTCTGCTGTTATTGTTAGGGTGGAAGTGGGGAGGAGGCCTTGAGCTCAGGTACCTGCCTCATGCTGGGGAAGCTGGTCCATAGAAAACAGCTGCCTTATACCCTCTTCTCTGTTGTGCAGGTCCCCATGCCTTCAGGTCAGGCCCATGCGTGGCATGCTTCCTGGCACTCTCCCTCTTTCTAGTGTCATGCCCACAGGTCACACTTGAATGATCTGCTCCCAGATAGTAATCTCTCCAAGGGAATGGCACACCCAGCTCAATGCTTTGCCCATGAGTCCAGTCACTTGTTGATGTGACCAATTGGAAGCCAGGACCAGGTCCTTTAATGTCTCAGATGCAAGGACAGTGGGGAGTGCACGTAGTCTGACTTAGTCTTCACCAGGCCTTGGCTTCCTGGCCAACACATCTCCCTAAAAAAGACCCATGTTCGGGAGGTTATGGGGAGCTTGCCCAGCCATTACTACACCAATACTTTAGTGTCCGGTTGAATATTGCTTGTGTGTTGGGGAAGGAGACAACAAAATCTTTCCCCAAACATCAACCATGTGTTATCATCACATCCATTTATGGAAAATAAAACTGAAGGTTAGAGAGATTAAGAAAATTCCCCAAGATCACATAGTTGGAGGGCCATAACTCAGACCCAAGCTTTTTGTCATCAAAGCCTGGGTCTTACTAAGCCATATTCCTTTTCAAGATTGTTTTAAAGATCAAGTGTAATAACAAGTAAAAAGTTTTTACCCCAGCATTAGGCCCAAAAGAGGCTAAATGAACTTTAATTCCTTTCTCCTTCATATATTAGAAAAAACAAAACACACAAAACCTGTTTCTATGACAGGAAAATCTAGTTTTAAGCATTAAAAAGGGCCCTCCTTCATGTACAATATAAGTTAGTTTTGGTAGTCATATTTTTTAAATCTCCCCTCACATCTAACATGCCAGTTAAATGGGGTTTTCTTTCTATCAATATGCAAAGTGGCAAAATCTAATAACGTGGAGAGTAAAATGCTGGTGTAGACAAATCAATACAAATCTATCATCATTATGAGAAAAACAACTAAACCTAAGCCAAATTAATGGCAGCCTCGACAGTTACTCCAGTAAAAGAAGATAAATCTGATGGATTAACACCTGGAATAAAGGCTAGTTGGTGTCAGGACTAGGACATGGGGCCATGTCTAGTTCCATCAGAGCCTGCTTTCAGACTGTATATAGGAGCAAAGTGGCAGTTCATGGGGACTGAGCCACATTCATTCATTCAATTAACATTCTTTAGATTCCCACTAAGTACTAGACATACAAAGAAAAGCACAATAAAAGAATCCCTGTCTTTAACTGAGCTTCTACACTATCAAGGTTTAGGTAAACAGAAGAGTAAGGTTGGAAATGGCATCTTGAGCCAGAGCACTGTAGAGGCTTGGATCCTAAGTTGGCCAGGTAGTTACTGAGGTTGTTCTGCAGGTGACGTGTCAATAAACACAATATACTACAAATCCATTACCAGACAAAACTATACGACGCTTAGCACTCTGTTTTATCCCTTCATCTATCAGTAACTATTTCATAAATAGCTCTCATGTGGACCGTGGTGCTGTCTGCTATAGTGTATTCCTATGTCATATTAGAGATTTCAAGAGGAAGCCACAAAGAAAAGCAAACTCATTAATACCACTACACTTACTACATACAAACTACACAAAGGCATGGTGTACAGTGTTTAGAGCACAGGCCTGAAGTCAAACTCTTCTCTCAGCTCCCCCAGTTTCTTATTGTATAACCTTGGACATATTCCTTTACCATTCCCTGTCTCAGTTTCCTCATCTGTAAAAAGGGAAGTAGGAGATCTACTTTCAAGGTCATTGTAAGTTAATAATGTTAATACTTAGCACATATGAAATGCTTAGACAAATACTTAGACAAGGGCCTAGAGGATCCATTTAATAAATGTTATCTATATATTCTTCTCATTTAATAATCAGAAGAACACCATTATTCATGTGTTCTATTCCTTCATTTTGTAGCTGAGGACAGAGATTGGGGAGGGGTAAGTGGCTGGCCCCAAGACACACAATAGGAAGTGCGACTGCCAGCTATGAGCCCAGCGAGAAGAGGAAGCACTAACATTCACCATAAGCTTACTACAAAAAGCCAGGTGTATAGTGTTTAGAGCAGAGGCACTGAGCCTGTTTCAGCTCCCCCAAGATATGCACCGGGAAGGAGCCACATTGTCATTGATTTCAACACAGAACAACAACTTGGTCAGCCTGGAGACATGGAGAAAGAAGTTCCCCAAATAAAAGAACAGCATGGGCAGGAGATGTGTTTCCAGTAAAAACAGGGTAGGAGCATGCAGGGAGGGCCTCAGGCAGGGCTGGTTCCTACTGCTAGTCCTTTTGTTCACCATGGAAGTCACAGCCTAGACTAGGAGAGGGATAGCAGTATAGAACCAATTCCCACACTCTCTGTCCAAGGCCAGCATGATTCCTCCAACCTGGCCTGATAGAACTATAGATTCAGACCTATTGGGTGGGCAATTATATTGCAAGTAGAGGCCCAGCTCATGAAATCATGCGGGTAGGATCCCTAGAGCCTAGCCTCCTGCAACCAGGGCCATCTTCTGCCTGTTCATCAGTCCCCAGGCCGAATGCCGCCTCCGCTGCCAAGCTGTCAGGCCTTTGGGATCATAAGCACATCCCCGGTTTTTCAGGTGCTCAGGCCTGCGGGAAAGCAGGTGCCAGCAACATCAACTACATGCGCCTGGTGGGCTACTGATGGAATGTGCTGCCCGCTTGGGGCCGCTCATGCTGACACTGCTACCACTGCTATTGAGGCTTGAAGCACCAACTGAAGCTATGGGGGGCGCCGAGACCTACTCGCTCAGAGTATGAGTGGCCCCAAGTGGGCAGCGTGTTCCATCAGCAGCCGGCTCAACACACGCACATGGAGTTGAAGTTGCTGGCACCTGCTTTCCCGCAGGCTTGAGCTCCCGAGCAGCAGATGAGCCAGTAATCCCAAAGGTCTGACAGCCAGCCCTGTCCTCCCGCCCACTACCTGGATTCCTCTGTTCACCATTGCTGATTCATGGGACCCTGTGGGCAGGGATCAAGAGGTCAGCCATTCAGCTTGCTCACCAGTTCCCAGTCCCGCCCCGCCCCGCTGGTGGGCCTGCGGGGGGGAGGGACAAAGAGGTACTCAATGCACTTCATAGTGACTGGTCAGTTGGTCATCATGGCCATCATGGACATTGGCTTTTTATATATATAGATGTAATTTATTGAGCAGCTTGGCACTCAAGTAGACACAGACAAGCACACAATTTGTAGCTGATTGTGAAGACACAGAGATGCTAACTTAAGTGGGAAATACTACCTGGATTTTTATTTGCATTTATTCTAGAAAGTAGTAAATACCATCTCCAGGAACATCTTTTGTTAAAAAGGAAATTCATAATTTCTATGACTTCCAAGAGAGGTACACTTAGACTGAACTGTGATTTATTTACATATTTACATCATGACAAGATGCTCTATTGTGCAGACTCCTTTAGGTTGACATATGCTCATCTCTGAGCCTCAACTCAGAATCTTTTCTTTTATATCAGTGAGCATGCCTGGGAAACAAGCTTTGAAATTCCTAATAAAGCACTTTAGTAAAAACAAATAGTGGTAACCACCAGTTATTATTGAGTGTCTATGCTGGGCATATAGTAGGTGCTTGACTTATGAAATTACATTCACATCCTACCCTCACAAAAATCTGTTAAAGAGTGAATAGCCATACGTTAAAGCAAAGGAGATTTTAACCTTTAACAAAATTATGCCCAGAGCAGAACAAGGTCTTGGTCATTCTGTCATTCCAACCAAGCCTGGCTAACTCCACTTCCTATCCAGTTCCCATGCATTACCTTACAGTGTCTCCCAGGATTAACAGAG